AATTCCGGCACCAATTTTTTTACCCCAGCTTAAACTTGTTCCATTTTGAAAGAGTCCATCGGAACCTCTTATATTTCAGTTAATTTTCAGTAGCATATAAAGTTTTTGAGGTAACTTGCTTTGTTATTAGGTGCAAATTGACAGATTCTTTCAACTTCCTTTTGGAAACTGCAGTCAGTCACTACTCTCACAAAAATATGTCAAAACAGTAATTCCTGTGAAACTTCTTTTTAAAACTCAAGTTGAACCTACAGAGATTTCAAGTAGGTTTGTTTCACTTTTGCTGCATTCAGCCAGCAGCTTAAGTATTACATTATAAAACTTTTATGTTTTAGGAGGTTGAAGAGTTGTTTTAGACTACCCAAAATAAGACTTGTTAAATATTCAGCTCAATGGCTAAGTTTAGATTTCTGTTCCCTTTCCAAGGTCCAGTTAAAAACGTCTGGAAGTCTTCACGGCAGGTGCAAGAAAAACCCAGTTTGTTACCATGGCAGCATATGGAGGGTGAAATACGAGCTTTCTCACAGATAAGTGGTCTGCATGCCTGTAGCCTCTCCATGATGTTGCATAAGCACTTCAATATTCCCAACTAGGGTCTCTAACAAGCCTAACTCATCATTCCTAACAATACTTCCTGTAGTCACAGGCTATCCTGGTACTAGAAGGCTGCAATGCGAGTTGCATGTACCAGCATGCCTTACATGGTCTTCACTGACCCTTAGACATCACTGACCCTTTGGATGTTGTGACATGTCAAGTAGCTCAGCAGAAGAGCCAATTTCCTTGGCAAAAGAAAGACCAATCTAACCAGGCTGTGGATGGCTAACAAGTGATGTCATACCAGGCATGGTAAATCCACATGCTACAGTGATGTGAAACGTAGGTATAAGGATTATCCAAATTGAAGATGACAGATACATATGTAAGAAAGGTAAATATTTAAATTTGCTGTCTTCTCAATTGTTAGAGGTCTTCGAACTCAGCTACTTAGTTTCAAAAAGGGTTTGAGTGCCTACAAGTGACAGCAGCCAGATAAGCATACGTTCCTCTGCCCAAGCCTAAAAGTGACTGTAAAGATCAAAATCTTAGGATAAAATCCAGTTTTGTGAGGAATTCTTACGACTTCAGAACAACGAACTCAGAACATTCTCCTTTGTCCTCTAAGTGGTAATCTTGTGAAATACAGTGTATCAAGGAATAAGTTCCACCTGGCCAAACTAAAGCTACATTGATTTAGGCTGCCTGTAATAGCTGCTCATTCATACAGCTGTAAGCATTAGATGACAGTATGTATACTTCTTCTGAGAGATGAGGTGGTAGAGTTGTGGTTTTGGGTAGCTTAGGTTGATTGCTTGCTTTGGGGGGAAAAATTACTTATTGATGTCATCTGCAACTACTTGTTTAGTTTACAGTGAAGCTTTGCTGACTCATATTGTGAGAAGTGTCAGGAAGAGATGTCCTCCATGTCTACCAGGAGTCCCTGGGATTACAAAACGCTTACCCAACATTACCCAAAGACAAACTGCAGGGTTTAAGCTAGGAAAAAGATGTAGTGATATACAATGCGTAAGAAGCCAAGAAACCACTAGTGTGACACTGCTGTCTCCTGCACAAGAGCTCTAACAGGGGCTGGCCCCCTGCACCAGCCAGAGGAAGCTGCTCTCTGCCCCACTGAGGCTGTTTAGGGCTGTTTTGTCTCTAGCCTTCAAGGAAGACAAAGGTTTCTAAGCAGTCTGGTAATCAGGGTGCAAAAGTGTGATCTATCACTCTGAGCCAACTCCTAGCTTACCCGTGTAAAACGTCGTGTTGTTGGATTCCAGTTCAAAGATGCTTTTGGTCTGTGAATCAAACCGAAGCCATAGTCCAATTGCAAGAACTGCTGTCCCTGCAAGCTGTAAGAACAAGCAAGCCTTGTTAAAAAACACCAATTAATACATTCACCCTTGCATTAGTAACATCAGAATTAAACACAGGATACGGCTCTGTTATTTAAAGAGGTGGTGACAAAGAACCAGCATAAAAGGATAGGGATACCAAAACAGGAACAAACTTGGTTCCTGACATAAGGCATCTTGTTGACAGATACATTTTCATATTAAACTACAATGCCACATGAGAACAATGCCATTCTTGTTCTTTACCGAAAATAACCAAGGTTCACTGAAGTGCCAAGTGCCAGTATTTCCACTGACCCCTCCACCCATTGTTTTATTCTGGGCGACTGTAGTGACTTAGTGATCTTAAGTCTTCACGCTGAAGAACAAGTGTATTGCAAGAAAAAGCACCTTGTAAGGCCAGCTTAAAGTTTGAGCACATTAAGCAGACTGGTAAGAGTTTAGTGTACTGCAGTATAGAGTTTAGAATGAGCATTCTTTCTTGCAGAACAGGATAAAACCAATCCAGTAAGTTACCACACTGAGAGGAAAATACAGGCTGCTGAAAGAGCAACATTTTTGTGTTCTGATCTGGAACACCACAATGAAGTTTTAGGTAATATTTAGTTTGATTGTATTATTGTCCCTGCCTGTGTGCCTTCAGATTCCTTTTAACTTCAGTGTCTGTGGTTGCAGCAAGTCATCGTGTGTATAGATTAGCTTCTGAATGAAACATCTGACAGAAGGTATCAGAAAAGTACTGCAAGAAAAGAGAGAATTGCACTCTGAAAGGCAAATGCTAACAGTTTGCTTTGAACAGACTGAATCCTCCCCACTTTAAAAACAGAAAACCTGGGGTCATCTTGTGTGCAAAGCCAAAAAAGAAACCAGGACAAATCAGGAAAAATCAGAAAGCTGGAGAATGTGCTTCTTGACTCTTCCTTCTCTTTTGAAGGCCATTTAACTATCAAAAAAAGCTCTACAAAAGTGAGATGAGGACAGAAGTACCACACATTGCAGCAGACATAAAAAATTTAAACTTAAGAGTGAGCAATAAGCTTAGGAAGTCTGGAGCTTTAGTTAGGCGAACCACGCATGAGAAGAAAAAAACAAAGCCTTATCTCTGATAAGAAGTCCCTTCTAGAAAGGAACAACATTCTTGATTTGCTTCCATGAAACTGGAAAGTGTTTACTTTGAAAATGTTAATTTTCAGTGAGAACATGGAAGGAATTCCCACAGAAAGCACCTGACACAAAGCCCAACTCCCTCAGCTCCACACTCTCTCCACAGGGAGCCCGAGAGCTGTTTCTCCCTGCTGCAGGAGTAGTTATGTTCATTGAAGGAAAGCACAGCTTTGCTCCCCATGGCTCTTTGCTAACCTCCCAGGCTTGCTCTTCCAAAAAAAAAATAAATAAAGGAAACTTTGAAGATTCACGCAGGACAAAGAGGATTGAGCTAAGCAAGGGTTTAAGAGAAGGTATGCCCCTTGTAGCTTCTCAGCAGAAAACATCCTAACCCAAGTGCTAAAGGGCTCAGGTATCAGCAGAGAAAAGCAAGAGGCCAGCCGCACCAGAAAAACCAGCCTTTCTTGTATAGCAGCACCTGGCTCCCAAGCCTGCATCAAAGAGGAGCTGCAGGGTTTTTCCTGGGAAAAAGATGAAGTGATACACAATACATAAAGAGCCAAAGCCAAGCAGAGGTTTCCAGATCTGTGCAAAAGTCCCTTTGTTGGTGTCACTGGTGCGTAGGCACAGCCTTACTCACAAGCACGCAGCAAGAACTGAGTCTGCACACACCTGCCCCTTTCCTTGTTAGGGCTATGCTGACCAAATAATTTTAAGTTGTGCTGAAGAACCTTGATGTAGTACACGGTACGTCACGGCAGCGTTATTATTTCCATTTATCATACCGCAGCAGCACCCCAGGGGAAGGAAGAGGTGCAAGAGGGGGACTGGCAGAGAGAAGGGTTGCTGCTTTACTTGTAGCTCACTGCTACAGCATCACTTGAAAAAAGCCTCTACGATCTCATCTCACTTCAGTTCAAAAGTCAGGAGGGCTTAGTGATGGAAAAACCCTCACACACTGCTTCTAGCCTACAGTTAAGTCACTCAGTATCTAATACTACTCTGTCCAAGACTCACTTTCCTGGGTCTTCAAACAGTCTTCAGCTTTTATAAGCATCCAGATTTGGACCATGAGAAGAAACTTACAACCTCTGCTTGTTTCACTAGGAACTCAGGAATTGCAAAGCCACAAGCCTGAGCACACCCAGCTGTCTGCACCTACCTATGTTTGCGGTTTGACAAGCCTCAGGGTTTGAGTAGAGAGCTCAGGGCAGTGCTGCAAATGGAGCCGGGCACAGCAAAGGACTGTAAAACTAAAAACCAGAGATGAGCCCCCAGCAGACCTTTAAGGTCGGAGTATTCAAACTGTGAAGAAACTCTTAAGCCATACTACAACCGTGTAGATTGTCTTTACAAGTCCAAGCAAAGCAGAAGGCTCAGTTAACGATCTTTTCAGAAACAAACTGGTTGGTTAACATTAGGGAGAGCTGACGTACCTAACATGGCTCCTTTCAGAAAACAAACTTAACTCTGGGTGGTGCTGGGGAAAGGTTAAGCGGGATGTCTTCCCCCTGGGAAAGAAGACATCCTGTGAAAAAATTAAGATGATCGCCAAGGAGGCAAGAGATTTATTATGGGATCACATAACAGTGAAAATACTTGATGCCAGTGAACTGCTCCACACCACTATAAAAAAGGTAGGATTAAATAACGATATTCTCTCTCTGGTGGACTAGGGAAAAAAAGCATCTCTTTCCTGCAAGAAAAAGTGACTTTTTGTCTCAGTTTAAGGAAAGCAGACTTGTGTTCTCAGTTTGTGCTCTTCCTACCCACAATGACTACTGAACTAAAAAAAGGCAGTTTTAAAGCAGAACGCAAGAAAGCAATTTGAAGCTCCAAGTTTCCATCAAAACATCAAGAGATGAGGGCACCAACATCAGCCTCAGAGGAAGAGGTAAGCACAGCCCCACGGGCACCCACTGCACTTGGCAGCATCTCAGACCATTCTGGCACACCAGAGGCTGGTACGTGGCCACCTCTCTGCTCACTGATGCTATGCCAGTAGGTTTTGCCAGCCATGTTGGGGCTGTTTTGGTAGCTGTGTTTTTCCTCCCCAGGAAAGGGGTTCAAGCCTCCCTGCTCAGGCTGTGTGGAAGCAGATCGCCTGAAGAGCTGGTTGTTGGGTTTTTAATCCAAGTGTTTTGTCACAGGAGTTGAGTAACACAAGATATTTCTAAGCAGATCTATGCTGTGCTGAAAAAGAAATTTAACAGCAAAAGAACAAAACTCTTTTCCTGAAGCTACTGTGTGCAAAAACCTACTAAACTACATGTAAGTATGTTTCTGTAGTAACAAGTATTGGCAAGGGAACTCAGGAGACAGTTGTTTTACCCATCTGACCAAAATTTGAAGTCAAAAGGGTACTATTCATTCACTGTATTGGAAATATTTGTGACAATGCTTCTCCAGTAACAGCATGTGCTGGCACAAGTATGCTACCGACGTCCCAGCTCAAGTTAATGAGGCTTCCTTGCATTTACTCTAACCACTATTTAACCATTTTACAGTTCCCAGCTCACTTCTGCTTGACTCGTCTCTATCCTATAGCATATGCTAAGCAAGGACAAAAATTCCTGGTCATTCCTCCTCTAGCCCTATAGAGGCTTCTTTTTTTGCATCACATGCAAAAACACACATCCATTGCCTCAAAGGCTCTACTCCTGCATGTATCTTTCTGCCTGTTGCAATGGGAAAAAACAGCTTTTTTGGTCTTTCTTCCTTTCTTACACAGCCCTACACCTTCTCTAGTAAGCCTCCTGTGCAGAACTTCCCTCATTCCACCCATCCAGCCCCACACTCCAACAAGCACCTTCTCCAAACTCAGCCCTTTTCCATCGCTCTGGTCTCCCTCTTGCAAGCTACATAATCTGGCCTCTGAGCATATCTAAGGGTGTGTCACAGGATTTATCTTTGACATCTTGCTTTCTTTTAGCCTTCTACACCAACGAGAACTGAAAAGGATCTATACCACCACAGAGGACAGTTGCTATATACTTGAGACAAGAGACAACACATCTATCATGGAGGCAGAAGCCATACAGAACACTGCCTGCCTGCCTTCCTTCCCCCACTGTACTTGGCTCACTTCAGCATAAATTTGAAGCATTTGGTGCTGGGGCATCTATCAAGCCATTTCCACTGCAACTTTTTTCCCTAACATACCTGAGGTTTCACAGATATCTTCTCCTAGCAGAACGCTTCCACAGACAGTCATCAGGTTCATCAGATCTACTGATACTGGTGCAAAACAACGTTAAAAGCTTGAGCTTTTGCAAACTAGAAATCCCGATTTTTGTTAACACATCCCATGATACAGGAATGTATGACACCACCCTAGGAAACTGGAAAGTTCACTTTAGGTTTAACTATTTTGCAAGGACCATTTTGTTCAGTCCCTTCTGACATCATCATCTTGATCCATCCCAAAAAATGACAATCCCCAACCAAGCACCCCGCTTGCTGCAGACACCTTACAGCATCTTACCTTTGTATGCAAGAAACCACCTCTTGAGGGGCACAAGATCCAAGTAGTTAGCAAGTCCCTATAGCTGGCAGATAAAGCTTTGGGAGGGGTAACATATCCCCCTCACCAAGTATCCACCAGGTTACTACTAGCCCTTCCTCCACTTCCACAGTGCCGAGGCAGGAATAGAGAAGAAATGAGACACTGCAAGAACTCCTGATATGTGGGTCAAAGCCTGTAAAAAACCTTTGTACAAGAAACTATGGGTTGCCCTATTTTAACACACTCAGGCCAAGCTTACATGCAACTTCTATCAAGTTCATGCAACTCCCATCAAGTTCATGGCACTATCTCCAACAGAAGGTAAGTCAGTATGTGAAAACATGGTAGATTTGAATCAAAAATAAAGGTTACTTTCACTGTTGTCAGC